GTTTTAAGTTATGCTATATTTATGGGATAAAGTGCTCAATATCAGAGATAGGGAGTATGTAAATATAAATATAAAAGTGAATATTGAATGGCTCCCGCAAAATAACCGTAAGCCACACCCGCAAAATAACCGCCAGAATAGAATACCCACAATGCACCACTGACCGATATATATACATAGCCGAGGAAATATCCAGCATTCGCGGCCTGAGGATTGCGTCCGACATGAAACAGCCTGTCGCCTCTGAGCGTTGACTTCAATGTTCACTTATATATATATATATATATATATATGTGTGTTGTGTGTGTGTGTGTTGTGTGTGTGTGTGTGTGTGTGTGTGTGTGTGTGTGTGTGTGTGTGTGTGTGTGTGTGTGTGTGTGTGTGTGTGTGTGTGTGTGATGAAGAACAAATAGGGAACGTTTATTTTTAACTTATCACCCTGTCGGATTTTGATTCATACGATATTTAATCAAAACTCATATATACATATATATTACCCCTCACGTATAGCACAACACAGAGTTTCATGTACAACGCAATCGTCATGTGCTGAGTATAGACTGACCTTTACGTAATTTAAATTTTGATAAAAATATTAGCGTATTTATATATTATACTCGGATTACAGTTTTTTTAATATTGAAATTAAACCAGTAATCTCCCTTCATGATTAATATAAAAAAATAATATTCATAAATTTAACATATATATATATATATATATATATATATATATATATATATATATATATATATGATCGAAATAAAAGTATAAAATTTAATATTACAAGACATATTAAAAGAATAGAATAAAAAATAAAAAACAACAACAAGGGGGAAGCAATATATATATATATATATATATATATATATATATATATTCCCCAATTCCTTTTATTGTACGTTTTTCTGTATTAATTTTGAATCTCCCGTTGAAGCCTGAAGAGCGGGAGTGAAACCGGTTGCTTCCCTTATTGTTGTTTTTTTTATTTTTTTTAATATGTCTTGTAATATTAAATTTTATAATTTTATTTCGATCATTAAATTTTGTACCTACAAAAATATCTTTTTATATATATATATATATATATATATATATATATATATATATATATATATATATATATCGTTTATTTTAAATATCAAATATATATTTAAATTAAAAAAAATGTAATCCCAGTATAATATAAAACTGCGTCAACATTGTGATAACTAAATATTTTTATTTAAATTTAAATTACATAACGACCAGTCTATACTCAACACTTGAAGATTCTGTCGCGCATGAAAAACTGAGTCATGCTCTTGCTGAGGGCTAATATGTATATTTATTAATATATACCTAATAGATCTATTGATAGTTTAGATATTTTTGAATGGGTTGGACGCCTTTTCTTCAGAGAATATAATAAAGTATTTTTTAATGTCATGTTCCTTCAGTTCGAAGGTTATCTATAGATTTCCATTATTTGTTATCTGCGAGTTGCGCTGACGTTTTTGGAAAGATAGTTAAGGAGCTTCGCGTCGCCTTCACCTTCACTTCTTTAAACTCACAGTTTTCCTTCTTTTAGACTGGCTGCCAACCAAGACTGCAGAGACCACCCCCCCCCGCTAACTCGGAGAAGAAATTGATTCATTCTTTACTGAAAATAGAAAGCGAAATTGAGAAATCGAACACAACTGATTAGGCAGGAATTTGAACTCGGCTCGATGAATTCACTTCTTTAGCCGATAATCGACAAACTACCCGCTTCCCAGCCCATAATGATCTATGCGTAGGTATATTGATAAATATGCCTATTAATTATGAAACAAGCACTTTGTTTAGGTAACAAATGGACATTTATCAACATTCTCACATTCTTTGTCAATGCACTTAATTAAGTGGTGAATATTAATCACACAGACCCAACATTACAGATTGAAATGTTCAGATCAAGATTCAGCTAATATGGATCAGACGACAGACATATTGATTCAACTTCTTATTGATTCAACTTCATATACATCTATATATATTTCTCTAAAACACATTCACTGTTATAGATTAGCTTAAAACAAATTGGTCCATAAATAAAACTCGAAGAACGAGAAACTCTGTTGATGATATTCAATAAATAAGTCGAGAATACGAAACTCTCAAATTAATAGAATTTTACTTGCCAAAACTTAACATTGAATCGCAACGTTTTACAAAACAAAAAAAAAAAAGAAAAAAAAAGAAAAATAGAAGAAAGAAAACGAACAAAAAATCCCCACTTTCGCTAATATAATCGAGAACGACAACTATTGTCATAGAGAAATCAGCGAGCCGAGTTCGAGTCCCAGTCTAGTACGTTATATTCACTTTAGCTATGGACGAAATAACAGGGTGGACAGGAAGACTTTATAACCTTGGCAGGCAAGCAGTTTTAGAGAAAAAAAAATCTATATTTCAAACCGTGGAGAAATCTTTCCCAATAAGGCATGTCAATTAACAGGTAATCCATTTATTCTCTACTTACCAGGTATGGCTTAATTAGCACGGCAGACTGAACTGTGTGGCTTTGGTTGGTAACCAGTTTAGGAGAAAGACAATTCTGAATTCAGTCCATAATCTTTTGGGCTTAGAAATAGGAATTTCATCCCATGAAAAACCTACTTGCTGTGGAGACTTAGTGGCTTGAGGCTCTAACCTCATAATTCACAAATGGAGTATCCGGGACAGTGCGAAAGAGAGTGAGCACGAGAGAAACAGACGTGGGAGGGGAAGAGAAAGAAAGAGAGGGTGGAAGGAGAGAGCGAAAGAGCAACAAAGAAAGAAGGGAGAGAAAAAGTTAGGTGGGAAACATAAAAAGAAACAGAGAAGGAGAGTGAAAAAGAGAGAGGGAGGGAGAGAGCAAGAGAGAGAAAGAGGGAGGGGTAGAAAGAAAGAAAGAAAAAAAGAAAGAAAGAAGGAAAGAAAGAAAGAGGGAGAGGGAGAGAGAGAATTAATGTTTTAGAAATCTTCTCCCGACAAAAAAGCGTTTCCTAGAAACTTATTGGTTTGAGGCCCGAACCTAATAATCAACAATTCAAGTATATGGCACAGTAAGAAAGAGAGAATGTGTGAGAGAAAAAGAGTGGGAGGAAAAGAAAGAAAGAAAGAAAGAAAAAGAGGGAGAAGGAGAGAGAAAATTAAGGTTTCCTGGCGCAGTGGTTAAGAGGCTGTCGAGCGACAGGCTCCTAGTTTAAATCGTAATTAAATATTTGCTATTTACATTGTGTACCGTTACAAAGTAGCTTGCGTTTAAGGGATCAAGTTTGTCACTATCAATAATACAGTGTTTAGTCTCAAGCAGAACTGAGCCGGTATAATTATAAGCGCATGGGTTTTGAAATAAACAGGACGTTTTATCAGAACATAAAGTCAGTTTAATTGCTGCGTGTTGTGGATATGATTTGTGTTAATGACAGCCATTTCACAATCGCTCGACATCGGTTTATGTATGCGTGTTGTGTATGTGTGGCTGCGGACGTGCCTATGCGTGCGTGCAACTGGCATCTGTAAATTCGAAGAGCAAAATACACAATTTCAGCAGCTGCGAGGAAGTATATTCCTCAGTATTGAGATATAAAAATAATGGTTTAAAGCTCCCGGAACCCAATCTCTAAAGTTTAAAAGAAGAACGAAAAAAACGGTAAGATGAAAGACTCGGCATCACACATTTTGACATCATATTTAACGATATATATATATATATATATATATATATATATATATATATATATATATATATATATAAATATATATATATATATATATATATATATGTGTGTGTGTGTGTGTGTGTGTGTGTGTGTGTTCACGTGTGTGTTCACGGTCATATTTTTCTGACACGTATCACCCACACACACACACACACACACACATATCCAGGCTGCGATGAGTAAATTGTCGCCATCATATATTTTTAATTTCGTACATGCGCGTTTTTTGATTTTGATTTTGTCGACTGCGCAGTATGGTAGGGTCAGTTGGACATAATCTGTGACAAAAATTTATTCCACCAGAAATTTGGAAACGGCATGCTGTACTGATTAGCATTCGCGCCGGAATCTCCAATACGAAGCTTTCAGAGTGTTTGGCTGTCAATCTGAAGACAGTGCATAGGATTCGGAAAGAGCTGGATGAGTCTAATGGTGATTACGAATGTATGGCAGCTCGGAAAATTCACTCTGATCGTTCTGATAAGAAAGAATTTGTTTTTGAGGGCCTAAACCTCAAAACGGAGACCTACATAAAGTTTCTTGAGAAGTTAGTGCTGCTCTGGGTCAAGATGGTGGCTACTGGAAGACCCTATATCTGACAACAGAAACCAGGCAATAGAACAAGTCATGGCTGTCAAACAATTTCATCACCCCTAACAACTGTCCACCTAATTCTCCACACTGAAAACACATTTATTATTATGTGTGGGACGCAGTTGAACGAGAGACCAAAAAAATCCCATGTAACACCAAAGATGAACTGAAAGCCAGGATGATGGCAGTATTGAGCAACTTAAAGAAGAAGACCGTCTTGACGAGTTACAGATTCCAAAATCACCTGGAGGCCACAGTTTAAGCCAATGGCGATTTTACTGAATACATTTATTCTTTAGTATTTCAAGATATATTTGTGTAATTGTAGTAAATATATCTGTTGAAATCTGATAACGGTGTTATTTTCTTTTTTGACGATAATTTTTCCATCGCACCCTGTATATGTAAGTGTGTGATATATGTGTGTGTGTGTGTGTGTGTGTGTGTGTGTGTGTGTAAATATATAGAAAATAGGAAAGAACTCGTTAGGTAAATAATCCAAAAATTCTTTAGTATTTTTGTTATTATTTTAAAAAAAAATAGTGCTCGATACAAAAGTAGAGCATAAATATAATTATTTATTTAAAAATATGATTCCAACACGCTACATAAGAGGTCTCATGTTGAAACATGAGACCTCTTATGTAGCATGTTGGAATCATATTTTTAAATAAATAATTATAGATAGATAGATAGATAGATAGATAGATAGATAGATAGATCTTGAAATATTAAGGAGTAAATTTATTCAATAAAATCGCCATTTATTTGAAAAAAATGAAAGATCTCTCCAGAAGTTTATATTTTAGTTATAATTTCAAGCGAATAGATTAACTTTAATATTTCCAATAGACAAAATACTTTGTTGTATCTCAAAACTAATTTAAATTGACATGAAAGTGTTTTCGTTTGGATATCACTAAAAATCGCTGATTTTAGCGCCAAGTTTGACATCTGTCATCACAATGTAATTCTCTTCATTAAAAAATCTTTTCAATATAAAAAGTACTTTTCTGAAACTTTATTTAAAAAAAAACTTAGCTGATTTATAGCTGATTAATAACAAATATTACTTTCATTTACTTTACAATATCACAGAAAGAATTTTTTTTTAACACGGACGTAGTTGTTTATTTAATGTGTTGACAGGTTGGCAGCTTGACTGACATGCGGAAGTTTATCTAATTTTTTCTACGGTGGACATATCTGTAAAAATTACTTGAGGAATATAACGTGAGCATCTTTTTTTTACATAATTTTAATTACTCGCTAATCTTAAAAATTTAGGAATATATTGTAAGTAATCTAATGTTTTATTTATTGAATTTTAGGTACTTGGCTTTAAATTTACTATAGTTATCGCTCTTATTTTCTGATAATGTCGTTTATGCACGTCCGTATTTGCAAAATCGGCACGCATAAAAAAATTAAAAATTCTCTTAAATAGATTGGAGAATTGTACTGATCTTTTTCGTTTATGATTAGTAAATATAGTTTTTACTTAATAAGAATATCACCTAATCGTTAAAAATTTAAAAAATTTAAAAATATTTAAATTTGTATTAATTATTCTAATTAGAAATTTAAAAAAAAATCATTCTTTTAAAAATTCATTATTCATGGGGTTTTTTTTGAGACAATAATTCCTATAATGTATCTTATTCATAAAAGAAAGTGAAAGCTTTTCTAATTAAATAATATTTTAGTTTTATTGCATTTTTATTTTATTATTCAGCTGGGGGTCCTGCTTTACAAAAAAAATTATTTTAATTCTTCTTATATCTAATATAAACATTAAACTTTACAAAATTTAATTTCTCGAAATTACATGAAATTAAATAAGTGAGTGTGAGGGTGAAGTTACTAGATGTTAAGAAATGTTTTTATCAAGATTTTCTAAAAAAGAGATTCATTTCTAAAATAATTTCATTAATCTGTGAATAAGTCATGAAAGTTTCATTAAAATCAGGCAATTATTTGATTTCTGTAGTTAAGGCGTTTTCACAGCAAGTAGTAATCTGTAGTCTCTGTGCGAACGCAAGAAAAACAAGATTTCTAACGGAAACTTCGAACATTCTAAAAAGGAGAAAAAATATAATTTAATAATGAAAAAAAAATTTGGTCTTTTAATAACCTAGAAATCTTGACGATAAAACTTTCTTTTTATCATTTTGATAGATTTTTTTACTGGGTATGCTTACTTTTAGCGAATCGGTGGAGGTAACTGTATATATATATCATTACCACCACTATATATATATATATATTAAGAAATGGACAAGGTCCTGTCAAAGAACGAATATTTTCTATGAAAAATTTCTCGGACATTCAGGCCGGTAAATGTTATTTAATACTGTTTATCATAAACAGAGCATTTGCTTAAATACTTGTATCTATAAAATAACAACGTTAAACATAAAATATGTCTTTAATAAATATATATATATATATATATATATATATATATATATATATATATATATAGAAAAATATAGTTTTAAGGTGTGCTATATTTATGGGATAAAGTGCTCAATATCAGAGATAGAGCATATGTAAATATAAAAGCGAACATTGAAGTCAACACTCAGAGACGACAGGCTGATAGTTACCTCTACTGATTCGCTAAAGGTAAGCATACCCTGTAGAAAAATGCCCCAAAATAATAAGAACAAAGTTTTGTCGCCAAAATCTTTATGTTATTAAAAGATCAAAATATATATATATATATATATATATATATATATATATATATATATATATATATATATATATATATATAGATAGATAGATAGATAGATATAGATAGATAGATAGATATGTGTGTATGTGTGTGTACATACACACACACACACATATATATATATATATATATATATATATATATATATATATATATGTTGTTAGTATTGTTTAAAAAGAATTCTTGTTACCTAAATACACTTTATATATATATATATATATATATATATATATATATATATATATATATATATGTACACACACATATATATATATATATATGTAAATATTTTTACAAAGTCACTACATATAAAAAGAAACCCTTATATATATATATATATATATATATATATATATATATATATGTATGTATAAAACACACACACATATATATATATGTATATGTATGTGCGTGTATGTGTGTGTGCGTGTGTGTGTGTGCGCGCTTGTATATGTGTGTGCGTACCCTGTAATGTCTACATGTATATATAAGGAGGTAAATGTTGGTAAATGAAAGAGAATCTTTATTTCCGCTGTTCTCTCAACTATTGAATAAACTTTGCGCTTTCTTACCCTCATGTGAGAATTCCAACTCTTGCATGCGGAAGTCGGGCCGCACGTGTGCATCTGTCGGTTTTTCACAAAAGCCGCAAGTGTTGTTTCCATTGATGACGGTAAACGACAACAGAAAGGAATCACAAACAGGCTGACAGACCGTTGAACTGTGTGTAAGAAGTGAATAAAAAAAAAAAAAAAAAGAAAAAAAAGGAAAGTGCACTGGTGATCCCAACACAAAGTAGGGATTATTTTGTGTACCTAGAAAAAGAAAAGAATAAAAACAAGAGAAAATGAGAGAAAGGGTACGCTTAGGTTTTTGTTAAAAGGTTAAAAATTTGGAAACGGATTATTTTTCTTGTTGAAATTATTAACATGCACAAGTCCCTGTTTATTTAAGATTTAATTAAATATGCATGAGATACTTATTTGACAAACACCGAGATGTCAAACTTCGTTTCCATCAAACTAAGTATTTGTTCAAATATTTTTAGTCACGGGTCTAATATTTTTCTTGTCTCTTTATTAAGCAGCCACAAGATTGAAAGACATTTCAGTGCCATGTCCTTTCAGTTTGTAGACGATCATCGCTCTCTTTAAACTCCTTTTTTTTAGCAGTTTAACGAACATACCCGACCCCCCCCCCACTAAAACCAACGGTGTCAAATAAACGGGTTTCTTCTGATGCTGCTATTACTCTATAAACCCACGGTAATAACTGTTTTAAAAAGATATTTAAAATTTTTAATAAAACCCACTGGGTTAAACTGTTCTTTGTTTAGTCAACTGGCTTAGTTTATTTATGTTTACCTCTGCTGTAGCCAGGTATTGAATCCACAAATCTTCGGGTCAAGTCACTAGATTACTTCAACCAACGCTTTTATCCATTGGGTAAATATTTTATAGAAATATTTTATCCACTGGGCGATGTGACGTCGGGGGACAAATTCGTTGTTGTTAAAGCGTAAAATAACTGCCTACAGCAGAGGTGAACAAAAACTTGGGGAGTTGAGTTACTAAAGGGAAATAACTGAAACTGAGATATCTGAAAGAGGCATGGCATGTGGAACAAGAACAATTTACCTCCGTAGACTAAATAAAGGGTTCAGAAATTCCAACGTATATCATCTGATGAAAGCCGGAGCGTACACCGACCGAAACGTCGTGAATATAACAATACTGATGAGGACAACAGTTCGAAAAATGTAAATAGTTTAAATAAAACCCAAATATATGAAAATGGGCTAATGGATTTTTTTTCACACGTCAACTTATTTTAGTAGATTTATGCAAGAAATAGTCGGAAATGCATTTTCGAAATTTATATCAGATGCTCGTTGCTATATTTCAATTTTCTCCTTTTATTAGCATACACATTTAGAAAATTATGAACATTTTTTTTCATAGTTATTTCTTTATAAAATGTGTTGTATTTGCATCTTTCACATTCACTATCGCCTAAAGGAATTGACTATATCACTAGCAATATATAGTGAACACAGCATATACCTGGGGGTTTGCTTCGGCAAAGATTTGTCTCCAGCTGTGCTGGACGAACTCTCTGCCTTCGGACAGAGGAGAACCCAGACGAGGCTATGCCGAAGGGCAGCGTTTCGTCTAGGGTGATAGACAGCTACTCGACCCCGTTTATACGGGATCTACAGGGAATTTTGTGACCCTGCGCGGTGGAGCGGGGGTGAGGTAAATATCCTTGCTTTAGGAATTAGTTGGAGATTCGTCTATAGCTGTGCTCTCTGTCTCCAGGCAGAGGGGATCCCCAGGCGAGGCTATGTTAAAGGGCAGAGTCGCTTCTCGGGAAACAGCTACCGATCCCGTTTTATATGGGGAATTTTTGGCCGAGCCTACAGGCTCGGATACCCCACGTTAAATTTCGAGTTGTGTCTCATCTGACCGCGTGCGACAGGAGGCAGTTGGTAGATGTCCTTGCTTCGGGAATTACTAACCTGCAATCTGACTCCCTGTCTTTCAGTAGTATATTCTCTTTTACAATAAACCCCTCTTTCTTTCATCTACGCGCGTGTTGCTGTTCCATTACTCGAGTACCACCCTTGTCTATTTTTAACCTCTTTAAGGATACAATATCGTAAATAATAAATATTGGATTCTTTTTTTTTACAAGAAGATTCACCCTGTGCAAGGCCTAATAGTCCATCGAGGTTGAGTTTGACGTTAAGGAGTAGTTTATCCGGATAGGAGAGAGAAATAACGGTTAACTCTAGACTTGAACAGGTTAAGATTGTAGTTATCGGGGAAACATCCTCTTGGAAGTCGGTTCAACAGACTAGTGATTCACCGGAAGAAACTGTTCGAGTGGAACTTCTTATTATATATGTATGACTTGAAACGGGTAGTTAATTACCCATGCCTCCTCAATTAGAAGAGATGCGTCACAAGGTCAGTGTTAACGTGGGGAACACGAGCCCATTCCCTGAAATCACGGGAAACGAGCGCTTTCCTTGTCTGTTGTACTCAGCCGAGTCTCTATCCATAGACATAACCCTGGGTTATCCTCTGCTCGAAGACAGAAGTCTTGTCGGTCGCAAGCCAGACAGCGAACTGACTGACTCCAGAAAGCTAGGTTCTTAGCCATGCCTCCACACTTATAATGTACTTCGTATCAGGATTCTCTATATGTAATGCTTCCGCTATTTGCCATGACGCCTGTATTAGTCAGTCTGAAAACTGACTCGAAACGGCTAGTTCATTATCCATGCCTCCCCAATTAGAAGAGGTGCGACACAAGGTCACGTTTAACATGGAGAATGTACACTCGGTCCCGCTGGTTTAAAATTTACCTATTCACTGCAACCGGGAGAACAGGGACTTTGCTTGATTGTTCTACTCAACCGAGTCTCTATCCGTCGACAGAGCCCTGACTGAGTCACCTTCTGGCCGAAGGTCTTGTCAGTCGCGAGCCGTGCTGCGAACTGCCCGGATCGAAGCGACTACCAGTTTCACCTCTGACCTGGTGCACTTTATAGTAATGGAATTAGTCCATTTATATATATATATATATATATATATATATATATATATATATATATATATATATATATATATATAGTCACAGTGGATTTACTATTTACGCCACAACAATATGAGATAACTATATTATTTTCTTTATATATCAAGAACAATATTGGGAAAATATATCACAAAGTGGAAAAAAGTTTTCGTGAGATATGTTTCGTCCTTTGGGACTTCATCGGACTAAATTTGTTTTGCGCGCCAACAAAGCATGCTGGGAATTTCTATTAATTTTTTTTAAGCTAGTCGATTCATTTAAATTTTTCTTACTATCACTTTTGTTAGTAGATATCCCTGGCAGGACTTCTTTTCTCACAGTGTAGGATAACCACTAAGAAAATTGAAGGGAAGAAAAGAATTTAAAAAATGTTAAATATATATATATATATATATATATATATATATATATATATATATATATATATATATATATATATAAAAATTCTAAGCATCTCTTGATCGTGCACCAACATAACAAACTTGGTCCGATGAAGTCCTGAAAACGAAACTGCGATAAAATGTGAAAGAAAAATCACTCTGCAGTGATGTACAAACTCCTTTCTCTCTCTCTCTCTCTCTCTCTCTCTCTCTATATATATATATATATATATATATATATATATATATATATATATATATATATATATATATATATATAATATAGGGGGAAATTCTATGAAAAAGTGAAAAAGGTTTACTTGCGTCGCGTCGCGATGAAATCCTGTAGGATGAAATGTTTCACATATAAACTTTTTCCACTTTGTCATAAAATTTCTCCAATTCTGTTCTTGATAGATAATATAATCGATATCTCAATTATTTAAATTTAATTTTTTTTTATTTTCAGATATCCCAGAGAATCCATAATGGCAAATAATATAAAAATTGATGCAAGGAAATGGCTGTTAAAAATAGTAAACGTTTCCCTTTTCGACATACAATTTTCCCATCATATATATATATATATATATATATATATATATAATAACAAAAATACTAAAGAACTTTGGATTATTTACCTAACGATTTCTTTCCTTTTTTTATATATTTTCACACACACACACACACACACACACACACACACACACACACACACACATATATATATATATATATGATTTCTTCCCAAGCAAAAGACAATTGTGTGTGAGAAATTATGAGGAAAATCACCATTAAGGAGAAAGAACAATGAAAGAAAACATGAATTAAGAAGACAGATGACGAAGATTGACATTGCATTTACATTTTTGAAAATCAAAGCTGACTGGAAAGCTAGAATCCCGAGTAGAGTTCTACATGCAAGAAATGCTAGAGAAGAAGCTGTTAGCATCAACCTTTTCGGTTACCTCTAACCATTTCAACTGTAAAATGATGAGACCTTTTCACCAATCTAGTATTGTGCTTCGATTCATAAATTCTAGGTACCTTAAAGGAAACTTCATCAGAATAATTACTATAAAAATATTAAATAGAAAATACATATGAAAGCTATGTTAGAACCGTGGGAAAGTGACTGAAGCTAAGATGACAGGTTATAATAATATGTTAGTTACTTCCTTGTATTTTATCAAGAACATCTAAATACATAACAGAAACACCAAATCAGTTGTGGTAGCAATATTCGAAGAATGGACGAATGGTAGACTATATACCGGGAGTAACAGCAAAATTGTCCAAATCATGTAACAGCAAAATTGTCCAATTGTTAGATTAAGTTCTAAACCGTTATATCTTAGAAATGATCAAAGATATCTTACTGGAATTCTCTGAGTTTTTTTTCATAAAATTACTGGTCTATACTTTTAGCAATAAGAATGCATAATTACTCTCTAAACTTAACAGAAGTATCGTAACGAATTTGATCCTTAAATAAAATCCATCATTAAATAATCATACCTAAAAATCGAAAGCTCATGAAGTATTGAAATAAAGTTTATATATATATATATATATATATATATATATATATATATATATATATATATATATATATATATATATATATGAATATAATGAGAACGAAAATAATATATAAATTCTAAATATTCACAGCATTAATTCAAAAGAGGTCTCACTACTGATAGTAGGGCAATAATTATTCATTATATTTTTTCATATAGACAAAAAACAATTTACACACTGATTCGGATTAAGGCAGATCTTCATTTTTTCTTTTTTAATGCAGTCTTTCAATAACACCAAACTGCGCACTT